CTGTATTTCTCTATTTTTCTATTTCTTTATTTCTTTATTTCTCTATTTATTTACTTCTCTACTTCTAATAGAATTAAGATTTTTGTACAACATTCTAAATATTAGTCTTTTATACTTGATACAATCGGTTTCTACTACTAAAAGCTTTTGTGTTATGGTGTATGAATTATCAAACATGTATTTGGATAAAGGTATCTGTTATAATAAAAGTAATTTATCAATCATTTTTATAATTCTCGTTTTTATAGATTTGTCTTTTAGTTTGTCCATTATATACTATACATCAATAGGTACAATTAATATCAAATATTGAATTAGGGATTCCAAATATCCATTTTGTCTTTGAATTTCGTCAAGAATTAGTGAAACATTTTTCTTCTCTCTGAGAAAAATAATTAAAAGCAACATTTTCAGCTTTCACGCTTCAAAGTAATTTCCTATGGTCGATTTAACGTGAATCTCTCTTCTTTCCTTTTCATCTTCAACATCTAGTATGAGTGAAAATGACGACCTGTCAGATGTGCGTTTCAAGCAGTGAGCAGTTATTGGATTTCTTGCAGCAGAGAATGTTGCACCAATTGACATTCATGAAAGATTGAAAGCTGTTTATGGAGATCAGTGTGTCAATGTGAGAACTGTGAAACGTTGGATGTTAAAAATTAAAGAGAAAGAAGTAGGATAAAAAGATTTAGTTGACAAATCACGATCAGAGAATCCTGTGATCGGAACAGACAGGTTCGATAAAAAAAGGGAGAAAAGAAGATGGAAAGTGAAAAAAATGGAAGATAATTCGTGAAAATTTATTGTTGAATTTAAAAAAAAGAAACATGTAACATAAAAATATAGACGCAATACCTCTGCAGAAATTAATTCTTTTTATAGATCGATAATACCTGTAAAAACTAATATAATTTTACTTAATAATAGGTTTAATTTTCTCCATTTGTGATTATAGCTAGGAAACGTCTCCGCATGCTATTAGATTAAAACCACAAATTGTTGATTTATAAAACAAAATAGATAGTAATCTTTAGATTTTTTTGTAAAAGAAATACTAGAATTTTTAAGATTACAGTAGCTTTTTCTTCAATTTAATCCTTTATAATAAATTAAATGCTTTCTATTGAATTTGCATTGGCAGACTGGGATGGCTAGTACACTCGCGATCAAATCAGGTTTCCTTAGAGAAAATGGTGATATAGGGGAAGCAGGAGCTCTCAAAGTTTTAATTTTGACGATATTAATATTAAAAGCAATTTAGAGAGAAAATAATTTAATTTTCAATTACATATTACATATTATACAATTTAGAGTATGAATAAAAAATATGAATAGTATAATGAATATCAATTCAAATTCTTCCGCGTAAACGTTTATACGCAAGTGGTGGAGGTCACAGACTTCTAACGCGACGCACGATCTTTCACCTATTTGCAGCTATCTGAGAAAAGAAAGTTTCGAACAAGAGTTGCAGGGTATGAAGTGTACAATAGATATCAGTAAAAAACACTTTGGAAAACAGTGTTTTCATGGTGAAATCGAGGTCACCTTTGGTTTTATAAGTAGGAAGACATTTTTTTTTACCATATTGTAGAGGGCATCGATACGAATTCAAAACGCATATTACATGATATTTTGACTAACATATTACACGATTTACAGTAGTAGAATTGTGAAATATTTGGCTTTTCGTCGTATTTGACTTTAAGACAGTGTAAACATTATTTGACACCGAACAGATTACTGAATCTAATGTATGTATGCACAGAAGGTCCCTTTTCTGCATGCAACGATACGCTGTCATAGAATTTTTTCTCACTGCGGGGCTACGTGCGCATGCGTAAGTGATACTCCATCTGAAGGCTGGTTCAGACACGGCTAGTAGTTTAGTCGAGTGGCAAGTAGTTTAGTGCATAGACACTGCAGTTTAGTCGAGTAGTTTAGTAAAACGGTTTAGTCGAGTAGATCCGTTTCATTGGATCTTTCTGGTCGAGTAGGCTTCCCCCACCACTAACTAGGTTTCCGAACAGACCTGCCCGGACGCATTTCTTTAGTCAAGCGATATATCTTGTATTCTCGATTTCCAAAGCTCAACTGTACTAGTCCGGGCACTTTTCTATGCGCTAAACGGTTTAGTACAGGGGTTGCCAAACTTTTTTGATCATTGACCCCCAAAAATGTGCTAATTCTCTTATCGACCCCCTCTATAAAAAAAAGTTAAAAAAGAAAAAGGAATGTAGTAATATGCAAACGTATCGAATGTGAGATGCGAGCTATGTGAGATGCGAGCTATATATAGCTATGTCCCCACCAGTGCTCTACTGCTTGAGTAAGGGGCAAGCGTCATAGGGCAAGGGGTATGGGCCTACCGTATGGCCAGAGAGGCGTGCGCAGTTGCCAGAGTCAAGTGGTGGGGACATAGCTTATGCGTAATGCGCGTAAAAATGACATCGCGTCAGCTAAACTTTACTTACTATATTGTAATTACAAATGGCATTCCAAACGAAAATCGTATATACTGTATTGCTATCAATAATTTTGCGATTGAATAGCATTGGTATTCATCGACCCCTAATCGACCCCCTACATCGGATCGATCCTTAATTATATTATATCGACCCCTAGGGGTCGATATCGACCAATTTGGCGACCCCTGGTTTAGAAGTAAGTAGCTACTCCCCACTCGACTAAATTACTAGCCGTGTCTGAACCAGCCTTAAAGGCTGGTACTAAACTACTCGACTAAACTGTAGTGTTCATACACTAAACTACTCGCCACACGCTACTAGCCGTGTCTGAACCAGCTTTAAGAACATCCTAGTGAGAAAAAATCCTACGGCAGCACATCACTGCCTGCATGGTCAATTTCCCCGGCGATGCCTACGGATTGGGATGGGAGCCCGGGAGAAGGCGGAAACACACATCACTATTTTTCCTGGGGAAGCTTCCTTTGATCAGGAATGTACAACACAATGATATCGTTGTTGTGGTTGTTTAGGAGTGTTTTACATCTCATCGACTGCGAGGTTGCATATATTTATCTCTAAGAAAATTTATGATATCTCGTATCTGATCCTGGGTTCTTTGTAGTTCGGTTTTTCTGTACTGATATAGGATATGATCGACTGTAAGGATTTCGTTGAGGCAGTAGCTGCAGTGAGATTCTTAAATTTTTTTGATTAAGTGTTTTAGTGTGACCTAACCTCAGTCGGGACATTATGGATTTCTCTTTTCTGTTTAGGATACAACGGGGAGTTGGTAGATAAAAGTTTTGTATTATGTTGTATATTTTTGTTCTCTTTGTTGTGGTCCAGATTTGATACCATTTGGCTTTTGTGGTATTTTTTATGTGGTGAGGTCTTGGTATGGTTTTAACATAGTGGCATTGTCTTTCGTGTTTCATATGTTCAAAATAAACATGTTGTCTAATAAAATTTTCAATAATCTCAGCTTGGCAGTCAACATAAAATATAAAACTTGTAGTAATACAGTAAAACCTGGATAAATGCAACGAAAGAATGCTTGGATAAGTGCAACATCGCTATCCCCTCCACTTGGGGGGATCCCCCTAGGCGAACCGAGCCGCTCGACGAGGAAGCCGTGTAATATGATCCGACCGTGTCGGTTGAATACAATACATGTGTACGGAAACAGAATCGGCATGTCGGCTGAATAAAAAACATGTGTACGGACGCAGAATCGACACCTCGCTTGGATAAATGCAATATTAAATGCCCAGAATCGCCACCTTGCCTGGATAAATGAAACCTTTGAAACCAGAGCCGACACCGCGACTGGTTTTGATTTCGATCTCTGTTGCTTTTCGCCAATCTTTAACATCAATTTTAGCAAGTAATTATTATTGAAACTATATCGTGTTTGGTACCATTTTAATCAGAAAAATTTCACCAATGCGTTAGTAAAATTTTCAATAAAAAAAAGTCAAAAATAAAAAAGTTTTATAGTTGAATTACTATTAGTCACACCGACACGTTTCGGCTCTTTCCTTTGATCATCGGACCTCTCTCTTTCCGCTACTGTCTGTCCTTTTCTACGTTCACGCTTGGCTGGTCGTCGCGTGTAACCCGAGATTCGACACCTCGCTTGGATAAATGCAACCACTGGGACCCAATCTTGGTTGCATTTATCCAGGTTTTACTGTACAGGGTGTAAAAAAATTAAATGTCACGACCTATATGGGGTGATTCTACACCTCTGGATCGGTGGAGATCTGTCAAAGAAAGCGACCGCAAAATTGACCTTGACCCCTAATTTCAAGGTCAAACTTTTTTATTGGCTTATCGTATAGTGCTCATCGAGGGGATAAAAAGTCTGAAAGGAACCATGTGCCGGAAATCAACCCTTCTCCTAGAAAAAAGCCGTCAAAGTTTCCATATACCATAATGCATTAAACGTTGAGTCGCCCGGTACCCCTCTGCAGTGATCTTGGCGCGGCAGTCTCGCGTATCGCTCGAGTTTCATGCTATAGGACAATTCTTGAATTTCAATCACAATGCCAGCATATAGGAAGGGTAAATTCTAAGAGAGCATATTTAAAAAGACAAAATAACGACTGCGTGTAAAAGAAAATAAGAATGAATTTAATTCACTGAAGAATTAGGGGTCAAGGTCAATTTTGCGGTCGCTTTCTTTGACAGATCTCCACCGATCCAGAGGTGTAGAATCACCCCATATAGGTCGTGACATTTAATTTTTTTACACCCTGTACATCTAATTAACCATAAACTGTAAGTAATATTAAATATAACGATCATGCACTTACCTTTATCAGTCCTTAAAACTGCAATTCACTTTCTTGCTGCATGTATCAAATCTCAGCTACCTATTATTATCAATTAACTTCATATCACCCTTAATTACTATCACTGCAAAATGATCGGTTTTATAAAATTATAATATATTATAATATTTTTAAATAAAAATCAAATTCAAGCAAATAGAATTACATGGATTGGAGGCTGGAAATGATTTAAGGATTATTTATAATGGCAGTCGTGTATTCGATTTATTAAGATATTCAGACCGACAATCTCACCATTTACATTTAATTCTCATTTCGCGGATATTTTCGAATGTCCAGCAGATCCGTACAAATTTGTCGATACAGTGAAACCATCGGGCATAATACATTAATAACGTTGTTATAATAATTCAGTACGACATATCTATAATCGCTGTAGCCTCAATTTCTTTTCTACCGAACGATCATCGCCATATCGCGTCAAACAGTTGGTATATATATATATATATATACTATTCACAACACTTGCATTTTGCACTCGCTTTAACAATCGCAGCCTCGAATCATTTTCGCATAGACGACGATTCGAATTGATCACAGCACAACGTATCTACAATATTTACAGAATAAATCGGTAAAGACGCGTAACATTTCTCGTACCCCTCACTTGAATCCGCAGCGTACAAATGTAAAATAATTTTGTTAGTAAGGAATAGGGTACAATTCCGAGCACGAAGGCTTCTCTAGGGAAAATGGCACTGTAGGTGTAAAAGCCTCGTCATTCGTGTTTTTTCTGAAAAAATCTATTTTATTATTATTATTTTTTGAAACTTTATATTCTGATGCCTAAAAATTTGAGTTTAGGTCTTTTGAATTTTAAATTTTGTCACTTTAAAATTTAATCATTAAGAATTATAATAATTCCTTCTAAATTGAGCTTCACATTAATATCTTCAAAATTAGGATTTTGAGTTCATTATTGAAATCTGTAATATTTATATTTGTAGTTATTCATAATGCTTAGTAACTCTCAAGCACGTATTATAGCTTCTTCCCCTAGATTGTCATTTTCCCTAGGGAAGTCTACTATGCTCGATACTGTACACAGCTCGCTTAACCGTGTAGAGTGTACATTATCGTTTAAAGCTTTGAAATTACATAGTTCTTTTCCATTTCCGTTTTATATATATGTATAGGATAATGTTAAATGAAATATGAATTATTATTACATCTAATCATTCAATTTATCTTCATGCAATCTAATTTTTGTATAACAAAACTGCATGAAAGTTACATTAGTACATTGGTAATATCAATATTTCAAATATTTCTGAAATAATATATTTATTTAGAAAAGCTTCTAATGCGTCTAAGTAAGTAATTAAAAGTATCTGATACAATCAGCTAAGGTTCCTTTAAATAATAATGATAATAAATAAATAATATAAGACAGAGACTAATAAATATTATACAAGCGTACAGTTTCCACTTATTATCATCTAGATCTTACAAACCTTGGACTGTTTTTGAGACGAAAAAGTAGTTTTAAATTTCTAATTACAATAACTTTGATGTTTACAATCATCCTTGCTAAATATGTATAAAACTGAAATTCAGTAAGGATTTGGTAATAGGTGATCATAAACATTGATAGTACATGCTTCTTTGGTGTTATTTTCACACTTTTAGTTATGATACTAATATATGAAACTGCATAAGTTAACACGTTAACCGCTACATCATAATATGAATTATTAAAGAGTAAAAATTAAATGTATATTGTATATAATATTTGAATTTACTATTTTAAATTAGTCATGTAATTTTAGTTATATGCAAAACTATCTTACTGTTTTTATCTTTTAATTATCTGACTGGGTTAAATTCATGATGTCGATCAGTAATGACTGAAATGGCGGTGAACGTGTTAAAAATGGTAGTACTTCTACAGTAAATTGCAAAAATATCCGTACCCTTTCAATTAATAACTGGTAATGTATGACATTGACTACCCAAAGTATTAATTTTTATAACTGAAATGATGGATAAAATGCTGTGATTGGGATATTTTACGCAACTATTTGTCATAAAAAACAGTAGACTCTTGTTACGTTGCCACCGACAGGGCTGTAGCAATGGAAAATTTGTCAAGCCTTCAAACTGTCATTTGAGGGGATGGGGACAGAAATGCGTACTTTTCATAGACTATGATAGTGGAAAGGTGGTACTGGTATGCTTAAAAATCCACGTGAATGCCATTTTGCACACATGGCAATATAACGAGAGTTGACTGTACAGCTAAAGTGCATTTGGATAATTACTATTAAAGCAGTACCTATTATATAGGGTCGTCCAATATTAATCGGACAACCGAGAAGAGGATGATTCTATATATGAAATAAGTCGAAAATATAAAACAAAATTTTTGTATATCCAGCTTTCTTTCCGAAGAAATTTAATTTAATAATTTTTCAAAATATTTGTTTACAAAAAGAGAGATCATAATTTTAACAATTCCTTTACTAATTCAATAATTAATAAATATCACTATGATATCATTTATATATGTATTCTACCTTTATCTCTAAAGAAGGTTAATGCACTCGGTACCGTACAGTGTTAAGAAAGGAGTCACCACTATTCGCGTGTGAACGTTTACTCGAAGAAATTGAATTTAACATTTATCTTACTATTTAATATCATTTAGTTAAATATTAAATTCTGTACTATTTAATAATTAAGAATTATATTAATTTTTTCTATTAGTAATCCTAACATTAATATCTTCAAAATCAAGGTTTTGAGAATTATTGAGATATTGTAAACATCGATATAAATTATCCATCAAATAAAAACTCTCTCCTTAAATTTATACTTAATTATATTTAAAAAATAAATACTAACACCTCTTTCAAATTAAGCACAATACTTGATACCTCAAATACTATAGCGACTGTTGAGACCCATTCCCTTACATCGCCATTTTCCCTAGAAAGGTTTATCTTGCTCGACACTGTACATCCAGTTACGAATTGAAACCGTACGAACCTTTATGCGATTCACTGTACATCAAACAGTTCGCAGACCAAAATGAACTTCTTTTCAAGATTTATGGATCAGCTTCGGTATAAATCTGCTTCAGGTTTTTAGTATGGCTAAAAATATTGTCACCGATGTGTTACAGGAGAAATTCCTGTTCTTTTTTCACAGCAATGTATAATTTGAACTGAAACGACGAAGCTCTCTCTGTTCGAAAATACCGTCGCCGATGATTCGGGGCTACGCAACGACACGTCACACTTTTCTTTATTCTCGTACATGGGAACTCACAAAACTTCACAGAATGCACGAATGCTTCTCGTATATCTTACGTATGTATGTATAGCTAGCCTCCGTGTTAGTGCATGCACGCTTTGCCAATCAAACAGCTAATGATAAGACTTCAGAGCGCATATCCCAACACAACTACGATTCGATTATATGTATATATGTATATGTATGTTAATCCTTTCATGCGTACGTATGTATATGTATTATTATATACCGAATTACGACTGTGCCTTGTTCGCGGTCGAAGAACTAACATTCAATCAAATTGCGAATGAACAATGGGTATTACAATAGTTCAGAAATCCAATTTTATTGTGTGTGTGTATATGTGTATGAATAACGGATACTAATGAGATCTTCGTGTGTATGCAATATAGAAAATTTGTGGAAAATACCAATCGCTGTCCGAAAATAGAAAGTAGAAATTTGATTATTCGAAGTAGAATTATTCAAGTAGAAGCTTGATTATCAGAACTAATGATACTAATTACGATAAATAGAATGTAATTGAACAAAGTATTAAATATACGAAATTAGTACAAAATTCATTCAGATTTGCATAAAATCTTGAACAACATTAATTTAACATAAATAGTTAAAGATATGAATATATTGCAATTATAATACCTAACCTATAAAATTGATGCAATCTTAAAAATTAAATGAAAAAAATACCTGAACTTCCTTTAGTGCTTGTTCTTGGTTTTTTTAATATCTTTGAATGCCAATTGAGCGATTCATTTTAACTTTCGGACGGCGGACCATGGAGAGAGCTCCAATTTAATTTATTTAATTTATTTAATTTAATTATTAATTTATTTTACATAAATATTAAAATAATTTTTTTGTTCAAAAATTGTATATTTAATTTTACGTTATTATCATTGTATAGGTTTTGAAGGTTTGGGTCACGATTGAACCAGGCTTCGCTGTTGAAAGGTCAATTTATTTTATTAAATATATTGAATGTCTCGCATTTGTACACTCACCGTCAAATCAGGCTTCCCTAGGAAAAATGGTGATGTCCTGGGTACTCGCCCTTTTCTATAGGCGGCCTCAGGGAAAGTGGTAATACAGCAAAAGGGGCCCCATACATATAGGTTTGTAGTTCCTCATCACTTATGTGTGAACGTTTACGGGAGAAAATTGGAATTGATATTTATTTATTATTATACAAAATGTTGTTAATATTTAATACATACAAATTATGTCATTCTGTTTCTAAATTATTTTTATTATATTTCTAAATTCAATTATTATCTTAAAATACATACAAATTATGATATTTTGTTCCTAAATTATTTTTAATGATTAATATTGTCAAAATTAAAGTTTTAAGAACTCGTACTCCCTTCATTCTCCCTAGGGAAGCCTGATTTGATCGCGAGTGCAGCATACTAAACAGCACTTATCTGACCAACTGAATTTATTTTGTTTTTCGTATATTAAATACATGTTCTACAATTTTCGATAAAAGATCATTTCCTTAATCAGTATTCTGATAATCGAGGTTCTACTATATCTATCATCGTGCAGACTTCGTACAGTACTGAAGATACAATCTTCTTCAGAAATAATTAAGTAGCTAATTATTCTTCAAATTTTATATGGGTTAAAATTATCTCACCTCTGTTGACGTTGAAGTGAAATTAAAAAGAACCAATTTCGCAATGTCAGAATTCTAATTTATAGTAAAATATTACCTAACAGTGAAGGAGAATTACTCTCCGTTCCTTTAGAAATCTAACAGAACTACTCAGATCTTTTAAACCAGTGATTCTCAATCTTTTCAAAACTGCGACACGCTATTTGATATAAAACATTTGGCAGAACATTTAAAGCAATAACGTGTACGAAAGACGATACCTGAAGTTCCTCGAAACACCGGTTGAGAACCATTGGATACAATTCCTCATTTATATGGAGAACAACTGAGTCTTTCTGTTCGCGTATATTTATCTAATTTATACACCACCCGGGAGAGTCGTGTTTTTTTGTTTGTTTTTTCTTTTCGAACGCAAAGAATGTCACGCCTCATAAAATCGTCATCATTCCTAAGCCTATAGTTCTTTCATACTCACTGCAGATATACTTACACAACATATTTGTATCATACATACATACAGAGTGAAAAATCTATCATGTATGCCTTGCATACTCTTCAAATTATGCATTTTAGGAAAAATTGTTGTATGGAAACATTCTGTAGTTACAAAGAAAGCATTATAAGGTGAGTTAAGTTTGTAGGTGGAATTTATCAATAATTGTGCTTCATTTTTTTTTACATAACAGGATGTCAATTTTTTTATGACAAAATTTACAGAAGTATCAAATTCTGAATAAAAATATATTAACTTTTGACATTACATTTAATTATTAACTAGATATTTTATTTTCTTAAAAAATAAAACTTTTGCAATTATTATACGATTTTTAAAAATTTAATTATATTAAGTGTTTAAACTAATTGGGTGCCTTAGCATTATGTCTTCTTAATTAATGTTTTAAATTTCAATATTTTCCCCTGATTTGCATATTTGAAAAGTGGCGTGACAAAAACGATTACTCCAATAAGATATCATGACTTTTTAAAAAATAATCTTGAATTAAAAAAGAAAAGAAGTACTAAACTTAACTTTTAAGTTCACGTCAATAAAGAATAACATGTTTCTATTATTTAATTTAGCATACAAAATATCATATTTTGTTTAAAAAAAGGAAAGTTAATTTTTAAATTTCAGAATTATTTCCACCCACAAAAATTGTTACATTGCATAATGTCTTCTCTGATGATCTATAATTTTTCTATCTAAAAATTTTGCATAGAATGCATAATTAAAAAGTAATGTTAAGCGTGCATGTTGGATGCCTCGTCCTGTAGGTACATATAAATAATAGGATAATATATTTGCATATATATATATATATATATTATATATATCCTCTTTGCTTTCTTTGTATACGTCTACATTTAGTATGAAAATAATTTCAAGCGCGTCTTGAGTCGTCGCACTCGTCCATTATCCAGCCGGAACCGGTGCACCAGAACCTGGTACCGGGTTCCGGTCTGGTCACCGTCCAATAAACACTAGAACTGGAAGCACTGTTCCCGCGACGTGAGAATCACCTTCTGATGGCTGGAAATAGCAGTGACAACAGACTCACCAAAAGATGAAAAACGAGCTGAGCTCGATGGGACACGCCTGGACTTAGAGCATCTACCGGAAGTTCACCGGGCGGCCTCATCGATGGTGGACCGTAATCTCGGTCGTAATCTGTAATTAAAGAATGCTAATTGTGCTCGAATAATTCTATAATTAAAATTACATTTCAATTCTTATTAATATCGAGCAATTTAGGTAATTATATAAAATATAGTAAATTTCACTAATTTTTCTGACTTTAAAACAGATTGTCAAGGTCAATGCTCAGAATAATTAACAATAAGGATTTTAAACTTAAATATTATGAATATTACAAAATTTTGATGACCTTGAAATATGTTGCCAAGGTTAATGCTCGGAATAATTAATAGTATCAAGTTGAAACACAAAAATTTTAAATATTTTAAGTATAAAATTTATCAAGCTTTTCTAATATACCTAATAATTCTTAAAATATAATTTGTGATATTAGTGCTTAAAAATTGTATAAATTGTTTATTTGAAAATATAAATTTACACGATTAAAGGGTTATGAAAATATGTATGCTATCGACCAAGCAAAAACGCAGCAGTCATATAATAAACAATCTGATTCTTTGTAAATAAAGTCTAAAGAATAGGTGGGACGATTGTACTGCTCTACAATAGTTTTTAGTGGTACTTTTATTAAAACATTGTTCACGAGTGTTCTTTGTCTGCTTGTTGCAAAAAATTCACCACTATAAATGGAATAATTTTATTTGCTTTCATAATCGGGTACGATTACGTTTCGTCGTGTACATTAAATAATTGTTCTTCATAGAATTCACTCGGAATTTGCGGATAAAGTAAAAGCGAATACGAGAATACGTAGAAATGAAAATTACAACAAAGCTCTCTTGTGAACATGTTATTCGAATAATAGAACGTTTGAATAATAACGTGAAACTCAAATAATATAACAGAAAGCTTGAATTGTATTTATGTACGCGCTAAGAACAGTGACACGGTTCTGAAAAGATTTTAACGCACAATGGTGATTCGAATTTTATGGAAAATAAATAATTAATATTGAAATCATAAAACTTTAAGATCTGGAATACAGAAGGCCTGAAACTATGGAATTTTGAAACTCAGAAAGTTTGGTAATTTGGGTTTTTCGAAATATAAAATAAAAAAATTTTAGAATCTTAGAATCTTGGAATTTTGAAATTCTTGGGTTTGAAATTTTAGAATTCTGAAGTTTTGAAATTTTTAAGACCTGAAATTTTTAGAATTTTGTAAAATTGCGAAATTATGTTATTTTTGAACTCGAGAATCTCTGAATTCTGAAATGTTTGAACTCTAGAAATTGTAAACTAGCAAAATATTATGATTTTAGTAATGTAGAATTTTTTAATTTTGAAATTCTGAAATTTTGACACTTTGCAATCTTTAAATTTTTAAATATCCGAATTTTGAAATTTTGAAATTGTAAACCTTTGAAATGCTAAAATTTTGGAATTTTGAAATTTTAGAATGGTGACAGTCCACATTTTCAGGAGAGCTAGTCTTATCCTAGTCCCCATCTAGTTACGCTAATATTCATATCGTCACGAATTCGAATATTAATTGTCGAAGAATATCAGTTCACGAAATGCTGGCCTCCTTAAAAAAAAGTACATCAGAGCTTACGTAGACAAGAAGAATATACACAAGAACTGAAACTTTTCACTCATTTCATTGGCAAAGTGGCTATCGAGTAACTGAAAGTTTCTTTACGCGAAATGTAGCTGAGCTTTCGATTAAACAGAACTAAAAGATTTAATCGATTCGTTCTCAAGAAGACTCAATTAGTATATTGAGAAAGATATTTTATCTTCTGGAATAGGTTGTTACAGATGGAATAGTTAGTTTATTCTCAAAACTTTTAAGAGTTATAAATTCGGTAAAAATAACATTTAATAATAAAAATATTCTAAAACATGTATATTTTTAAAAACGAGGAATTATTAGTTTCGTAATATTTTCTGTTTATCAAAATGATTGTTGAATCTATATTATTCCCATTTTTCTGGAAATTCGAAATTTTTTAAAGGTTTAAAGATTCATTTTGTTAACAACTGAAGTTAAAGTCTAACTATGTTATGTATCAATGCGAATACAAAATTTTCTATACGGATCATAATTTATAATTTTATATATAAATTCTATTCAAGAATCTTAGAATTTTTAATATAAAAAAGTTATATAATAATCCTTTTATAATAAAAATTAAAAAGAATTCTATACAAGAATCTGAGAATTTTCTGTGGAATTTTTTTATTTGAAACAGTGGCACTAGATCAAAGCATTTTTTCTTTTTGTTGTTTCTGGTACTGATTTTCATATAAAAAGTTTAGAAGTTTAGAAATGCGCGTCTGTTATGCAATTTAATTTTATTACAGTAGACTTTCGTTATATTGCCATTCATAACTTACGCAAATGGTACTTTTCTAATTCGTTCCTCCTCTAAATGAGAGCTTGGATCCTTGACTTTTCCGCTTCTACAACCCTGTCCGCGGCAATATAACGAGAGACAATATATTTTACAACTATCATTGATAATCTGCGTCTCAAGATTCACATTTTCTATCAAGAATTTTTCCAGTGCAAAAAATAGAAATATTTGGCATTAATATCTTCTATTTGCTACAATATATTATTAACAATTAGTTGTATAACAATAAATTAAGAATTTTCAATGAATTCCTTAAATAACTAAACAATGAAGTAATATATTATATGTTGGAAAGGTCGTGGCCTACAGATGAGAAACAGTTAGAGATAATGAAAGATTTATTATTATGTATGACAACACAATCTGGTTACTGCGTATTAGAATCATTGTCGCAAGCTACTGAAGTTAGCTCAGAGAGTCAGTGCGGCAATCTTAGAAAAAGGTTGGCTCGGCTAGGCAGTGCTGCCTCTCTTCCTTCCGGATCCAAGCCGCGGATCACTATTGGTTGTCGATCCTCTACATTATATAACATCTTTTTATATTTTTTCAATATAACCTAAATGTTATTGCAAAAAAATTTATACTGAAACGTTCCAGTATCCACATTTTAAGTAAAAAAAAGCCATAAACGAGTAAGACAATTTCGTGACAAACTAGAGTGTATCTCTGAAATAGAAGCTCGCTGGATTACAGAATTTCGAAGAATTTGATCGATCGTGTTAGAGAAGGTCGGGAAACAATTTATTAAATTATTCCCAGGAGGACCGTAGGGGAGAGAACACGAACGGACTCATCGCAATAAATACGTAGTTTATTGTCGAGTTGGATTCTTTCCGGCACGGTCCCGTTCAATTTCGCTTCTTGATTGGATGGCCGGTTGTTCTAACTTTTACGAACCGGCCAAACTTAAATCAACATCACCACCTGTGGCGCTAATACAAATCCGGTAATGTTGCCAGCTATGAATATATGAATATCAAGGGGAGAAGAAATTCGTGTGTACACTAACCTAGAGACCCTCTAATGAGAGTTACTTAGAGGGGAACAGGAGATAGAAGTGTATCATTTGCATAGGCTATAATGATGAAAGAGCAACAATACAATGCTTGAAAATTTCTGTAGAGGTTAAATCGCTTGTGTGGTAATATAACGAGAATCTACAGTAACGGTATAAATTTCTATTAGTGCCGCCATTTTTCAACAAAAGTAGTAGATATAATACCTATGACTGTTTATGACCAATATCGTATTCATACTTTATGTAATTTTAAGTGAAATGGTTTTATTTGTATCTGGAATTCTGTGGTATGAATTTTACGAAAAAATGGTGTTGTCCATCAAACTTTACTGATTATTTCGCGACTTTAATTAAACGGTTTTTACATTAATCCTATTAACTCTAGAAAGACCAAGTTTCATACGTCATAACTTAAGTCTAACCTTGCTAAACCAAAGTCACTTCTTCGGTATTAAAAACATAAATCAGAATAAATAATTTTTTGGATATTTTTTTATATACAAAAAATAATATATTTTCAATATTCTCTAACTGGTGATGTCGAGAGTTCTCACCGTTCTCTGTAAGCATTCTCGGGGAAAATGACAATGTAGCGAAAGGGGTTCTACATATATGTATATAGTACATATATGCATATGTACATGTACAAGATTGTGGTCTCCCACTACTTGCGTATAAACGTTTACGCGGGAAATTTTGAATTAATATTTACTTTCGTTGGTATAAAGAATTTCAACATTCGTATTTTCTAGTAATATTCTAATTTTTATAATATTTAATAATTGAAAATCATATTATTTGTTTATTTGTTTAAAATAAAAATTTTAAGAATTCCTACGCTCGCACTAATGGTAGCCATTTCCTAAAGTTAATTGATCAGAATTTTTTTCTTAATCTCTGAAAAAAATTAATTTTGTCATTGGGAAGTAAGTCTGTTAATGAGAGCCATTTGAATCATTTATAGGCCAAAATGATTAATTCCATTTCTTGAATTTTTTTAAATTTTAGTACTGAAGCGCTTGTAGGATATTGATACTTTCAATGCATTAACTATTATATGGGTATAATAAATTTTCTTATAAATACTAATATAATTATTAAACTGAGAAAATTTATCCATTGATAACATATTAAAGTATACAAAAACTATATGATACATATGAGAATATAAAATAAATTATTCAGAATCTGTAAAATATGTCAAATGTATGAATTGAAGTTGTACTTTCTATCATTTGAAGAGAAAATATTTTATAAAAATGTGGGTACATTTGCATAAAGATTTGTAGTGCAATGATTATATGCAAATACAAGTAAATAAATTATCAGATGTAAAAATAAATTTCATACACTCATGACGAGATATTCGTAAAAAACTGTAGTTATACTTATATCACCAGTATACTGTATTCCGGGAAAAATGGAGACTGAATGGTGATTGAAAGAGTGATTGAAGTGGTTTGAGGTTAGGATTAGGGTTAGGGTTAGGTTAGATTTAGGTTAGGTTTAGGTTTAGAGCGTACATGGCAGGATACGAGAGCCAATATTCCTCGTTATAGAACTCGTACGTCTCATTACGTGGGATATATAGCTGAGTTTTTATTCCGACGTCAACATGATATTAATGAGCGTATA